CGTAATCGAGAAAAACTTCGGTTATCATATTTAAATGGAAATATTCATTTTGACCGTCCTCGAATCCATCTGGGTCTCAGCAATGACCGAGCGGTAAAGTTGCTGAACACTGGAAGTTCGGTTCAAGTCTCGAATTCCCCAAACGGCCCGGCTGCATGGGGCCTTCGTAATTTTTCCCATGTGTATCGTGTATACAAGCCAGTTTTTCTTAGAAAAACCTCCAGGAAGGCATCCCTTCCCCTAGGAAGATAGCCCTCGAGGATTTGTCGTTATCGCATAAACCAAACCGAATCCATTTTTGGGGGAGGAGCGTGACGTCTGTACGAACAGACAAAATAAAGGACTCTTCCCCCCCAAAAAAAAACAAAGGATTGTAAAAGGGATTCAAAAGGGACTTTTTCTCGACATTTGTATGTTCCCATGTACGTACGTATGTATGCACATTATGTGTATATGCATCGCATAACTCAAAAACGAATAGCCGTAGAGCGTTGAAATTTCGCACATGGGGCTGCTATAATATCCATTTGTAAGCTTTTTTCATTGCAATTGGCAGTGTACATATACATGTATATCAACCCCTTACCCGGCCTATATTTTCACAATCGTTGGTCTTAGTCATGTCTTCCCATTACAGAAGTGTTTTAAATGACGAAAAATGTTTTGGCTATGTCAAATTTAAAAAAACATAATTTTCGACAACTAACGAAATTTTATTTTTCTTTCATCCTGTACTTGGGAAAGTTTTGTACTCGTTATGAAAAAATAAATTAGAAAAAGTTTGACTCCCGTACGACAAAAACTGACCGGGATATTTTATTCAAAATTTGCAATTTTTGATGTCATTTTCAACTTGCCTTGAGGGATCGAGTAATTACGTTAAAATTATTCGAGGAAACAACTTTAAATAAAATGCAGCAAAAAGTGTGTATAATTTAGCAGGCGATACAAGGAAGTCATGTGTGTCCATATCAGATTTTTAACTATTAATCCTGATTTGATAAAAATCATTATCAAAATGTTGGCTGCTGGAAGCCTAGATTTGGGGGGAGGAGGGTTAGTACTGTAAATTAATAGAGGGAGGGGGCCCAAGACTTTTTTTTGCATAGAGGTCCTAGAGTTCTAATTTCGCCACTGACTGCATAGTAATTGTTTTATTAGGACTCTACTAATACTGCAGTGGCACCGTTGACTTCTAAACAAAATGCCGACAATATTCAATGGAATATTTAAAATTTAGTTTTATACCTTCACGAATGAACGAAAGAAAACCGTTGTGTTTTCTTTGTGAGAATCAGGGCTAAATTTCTACATATAAAAGTACCGGAGCCCTATAGGAGGCTTTCAGAAAAGAGAAATAAGAGTAAATAAATAAATAAAATAACTAATAAAGTCATTAATAATTGAAAAAAAATAAAGTAGTTTATTATTAAACTAACTAAATAATTGATAGATAAAGTAATTAAATAATAAAAATAAAAATTTAATACAATGCAAAGAGATAAATTACAATTTAGTAAGCGATTTTTAATATAATTTTATTACTAAAAATAAAATTTTCAAGATATAATTTCTTCAGAAATTACTGTTCAGTTGACTAAAAGAAGTATATAATTCTTAAAACTGATTTTTAAAAATGTTTGTTTATGCAGTTTGGATAAGTTGAGTTATATCAAGAGCCAACAAGGTGGGGGTGAATTTCGGGTTTGGTTCGCAAGGATGCTATATGCATTAAACTTGAATACACAGCTTGTTTTATGATATTACTTCATAATTTTGAATAGGAAATTGGGACGTGGGCCTTAAGCTTTGAATTTACAACTGACATAAAAAATTTATATGAAACTGTAGGATGTTGGTGGGTGAATGTGTCTTGTAATGTATTAACATGACTCGTTTCATATTTTGAATTACATGTAACTAAACTACCCACATCTATGGCTAAGAACAACTCCTCAATTTTGGCATTATCTGCTGTTACTACTGTTATTCCCCACACTTTTCATTTCCTTTTGTATTTTCCATAGACAGTTTTATTTTATGTTGATGGTTTGTGAAATTACCTTTTTCACTGTTCGGCAATAAATAACTCTTCTTTCTGAAAAGGATTAACCCCAACTAAGTTAATTCTATGTCCTTGATTGTGTGAACTGTTTACATATTAACACTCTAGATTTAATAAATTATATTTATCAAATAGTTTTAAACAGGATCAAAATAAAATTAATGCCTTGTGAGCATATTGTGTAAATAAAATTTGTAACGGAACATTTACAAATTTAAAGCAAAAATTAAATACAAATATTTAACTATTAAATAGTAAAGGCTTTATAAAATGCTCTACAGATCTCTGTAATATATTAAAACACTTTAGATGAAACGAAAATTAATTAGAAAAATTACTTAGGAAAACAAAGAACTTGCACAATTTAAGCTTCACTGCTGCTTTAACTGTTTTCAAGAATCGTCATCAAAATTTTCTTCACAGACATTCTTTTGCTTTGAAACTTAGTTAAGAACATGTATTGCACAAAATCTGTACTACAACAGCAATACAATGAAAAACTGTCATTCAGATTTACACTTTAAATGGTAAAGATATTTTTACATTATTTATGTTACGACAAAAACAGAGAAACATCATGCAATTATGCATTGTATGTGTTTTCATGAAATTGACCAGTTTTAGATATGCATGGATACCAAATTTAAATATGCAATATACAGGTAAAAATGGACTGAACAGTAGAATTTAACCGTTCGCGTGTCCCACCGCACAAACTCTGTAATTTTCCCTCTCTCACACCTAAATTTTTATGGAGAACAGCCCGGTGGACGGATTCGAGGGTCCCACACCCCTCTTTCCCTGCCACCAAACTACTCGAGAGGACTTTCAGAAGCATCAGTTTTTCTGCCAGTTAAATATGTAACTATTCATGAAATTATTTATAAATATCTCTGAAAATGCAAGCATATATACTCACAAAGTCCCGTGAATGCCTAAATGGTAGGTGAAGAAGTCTAAACGGTCATTATATTAAATGTGACCTATTTAGCTGTACTACTACAGTTAATTAACTGATATTAACTGTAAACCTACAAATAAATATAATGACCTATTTAACTGTACACATAATTCAAAATACTCTTGACAGGGATATTTTTAATCTATTTAACCAGGAATCATTCATATAGGAGCAGAGTCTTTATTAAAAATGATGGGTGTATATGAGATTATATAGATATATATCAACTACAGACAATTGTAAAGCAGCATGTCTAAAATGTGTATTGTTGAATAAAATTTGGAAAGACACTAAAAGAAATATTTCCTTATATATTATAATAAAATAGCTTCACATCTTAAAGAATACTAATAAATATTTCTTCTCGCCCCTCCCCTAACTCACATTAATAATATGTATGGTGCCCACGATTTAGTACCAATACTTCACTAAAACAAATGCTGCTGTAATTTCAAATAAATCAAAAGGGGCATTAGTTATAATGTGAATATGGTTTTTGAAAATACTTTAAACAAGCCCAAAAACTCATCTCATGCTGGCAAAAATATTTCAGAAAGTGGTTCGGTCAATAGAAAAGATGTAATACTCTGTAATTCGGTATAATACTATATATAAAATATATAATATAATATAAATATAATATAAAAATAATATGCATATAATATAATATAAAAGCTATAATACTCTGCAATAAAATACGTTATTTTAGCGTTAATAATAGATACACAAACTCTAATTTTTGTTGTCATTGATTAAATGAAATCAGATTACCTCAAAATTTCTTCAAGGTGTAATTAAAGGGAACTTGTGAAAACATCTCAGTTTGTTCTGAGCACAAAAACAGTGAGAGCATTTAATTCCATTCAGAACGAAGTGTTATTTAAAAAAGAAATATTTCACTTTATTAATACTCTGAAATGTTGCAGAAAAAGAAAATACATACATTTATACTAATCACTTACTACGTAATTAAAAATATTTGCTTCCGAACTGTAAGAGTAATGGAATAGAATAAATGAGGAGTTCCTCATGACTTTTCCCCAAACCGAAGATGGTCATAGAGATATCCGATAAAAATTGTACTCCAAAATCAGAAAGGCTGCACAAATTAGAATTAAAACAAGGGTGCCTATACCCTTGTTTCAACTTCCATTCAATAATGTTCCTGGGGTTGAAGAGATTTATGATTTAACTTATTTCATGAATTTTTATGTATCTATTACTGTTTATAAGGTGGTGGCGTGCAGTGTCACATTTGCCAACACTTAACCATTCTTCCGAAATGTGCAGGCTTAAAATGAGGTGCGTCAAATGCAAGGCTTAATTCTAAAATTAGAAGTACCGGGGCCCTATAGAAGACCTTCAGTAAAGAGGAAGAAAAATAAATAAAACGACTAATAAAATAATTATTAGCTAAAAAATCAAGTAATTCATTATTAAAATAATTAATAGTTCAAGTAATTAAATAATTAAAATTTAATAAAATGCAAAGATATAAATTAAAATTTAATAAGCCATATTTAATATAATTTTAATACTAAAAATAAAATTTTCATGGCCAAATTTCTACTGAAATTGTTGTTCAGTTACCCAAAAGTGGCTGAGCTTCCTTATTTAGGGTTCCGGTGTGTTCCGGCTAGAATTAGGAATTATCCCCAAAACTGAGAAGTACCGGAGCAGGTCTCCGGCGCAGTGAGAAATCTTTTAGCAACGATGCCAAACTTTTAACAATGCAACCTGCCAAATTAAAAGATCACCTCGAGAAAATACATTCGGATAAAAAGAATAAAAATTTGGATTATTTAAAAAAATTTAAAGAAGCATATGCAGCACGATCACCCTTAAAAGAATTTATTAAACCATCAAATGAAGTTAATAATGATGGCGGGTTAATATGTTCGTACAATATTTTTCTCAATATTGCAATTTATTAAGGCAGGAGGATAGAATGGAGTCATAATTAAATTAACTTACTTCATAAATTTCTTCTATTTCAGCGTCATTTCTTTCAAGTCTTCTGCAAAAATACAAATGGAAAAACAGTCAAAATACTAATTATATACATGAAAACATAGCATTCCAAAGCCCTTCATTTTATCAAGTTATATCTTCATTTCATCTTCATTTTATAACGATTATATATTATACGAATAAAATGGTGAATATCTGTAGCATTTTCAGTGGCAAGAAACATTTGCTTTCAAGTATGTCGCTTGAGAGTTGTTTGTGAATATTTATTAATTCCTCCAAATTTATTAAATATTCCACAAGAGTGAGAAATCTGTTCTAAGATGGATTAAACATTCTGATATTCTGAACAGCAAGCAAATGGTGAATAAAATGGTGAATATCTGTAGCATTTTCAGTGGCAAGAAACATTTGCTTTCAAGTATGTCGCTTGAGAGTTGTTTGTGAATATTTATTAATTCCTCCAAATTTATTAAATATTCCACAAGAGTGAGAAATATGTTCTAAGATGAATTAAACATTCTGATATTCTGAACAGCAAGCAAATGGTGAATAAAATGGTGAATATCTGTAGCATTTTCAGTGGCAAGAAACATTTGCTTTCAAGTATGTCGCTTGAGAGTTGTTTGTGAATATTTATTAATTCCTCCAAATTTAATAAATATTCCACAAGAGTGAGAAATCTGTTCTAAGATGGATTAAACATTCTGGTATTCTGAACAGCAAGCAAAATATTTTTCTAGACATTTTCAGTGCTTCAGGCAGTGCTTTACAGTGGCTAAATCCTTTGTTTGCAAAAACGTTTGTGAACCTTAATATGGTTTTTAATATTAAAACCGCTCATAAAATCCATAACGTAATGTTGAACACAGATTTTCTAAGGAAAATCTGCCTGTATTTTCATTAGCTATGAGATTAACGTTATGTAAGCAACCAGTTCAGTCACTGGATACAGAAGCAGAGAAAAAAAAAAAAGAGAGAGAGAGAGAGAGAGAGAAATAAGACATTACAAATTAACAATGAATTAACATTAACAGTGAAAAATTAATTAACATTAACTCTCATTAACAGTGAAAAATAAATGAATCTCTGTAGTTAAAAGGTATTATGATTGATTGTTTAAGACTTCAAACAACAATGCTAAAACATACAGGAATTCTACATTTATAATAAACATATTTAATTTTCAAGATAACTAGTGTATATAAAATCTCTTTAGTATTACAATCTAAGATTCTAGAATTTTGATTTCCTATGAAGACTGCAGACAGGACAGGTGATGTTCGGTGCCATTATTTAATTACATTAAAAAAAATATCTACCCCCTCAAAGATAGGCAGTCACATTAGGAGCATAGTGACAGCTTTCATTATTCCTCAATTATGAGTTTAACATTAAGGTACTAGCATTCATTACATTTTTGTAAATAAATTTTAACATTTTCAATGATTATATTAAAACACATTCTCAATCGTTAACATTTTTCAAAGACTAGAATTTTTAAATAAATTAATTAAAAATCTCCTTCGTCTTATACAAAAATTTCATAATATTGAAATTTAGACCTTATATAAATATGTATATAGAATGTACAGTGGATGGACAAAAATATGGAAACACCTTGTGAAATGCATGTTTGAAAAGAAAGATTGATTTTAATGAAATATGTAGGTGGCGCTGGTTTTGACTATATACAACTTCGTAAATGTGCTAATTTTAAATAGTCTGTACCTTCGAAAATGTTTCTAAGAAATGGTTGCGACAAAACGCTTCACTGCGCCCCGGTATCCAGCAATGCAGTGGTAGGCACGTTGTTAAAAAATACGTGAATTTCAGGCAAAGCCAAATTTTAGTATTTAATTTGATTTCTGAAGGATTTTGTTTCATGAGGGTGACTGGACCCTCTTTTCGGACACCCTAATTAGTTTAAATAATTTTGCTTATCAGCCCCTTGCTTCTGTTGCTTCTGTTGTTCCTTTTTCGGTCTTCTCAGACTGTCGGTACGGATACTGCCTATTTTGAGTCTTTGCTGGGGCGAAAATCTCGAGTACCTGTTTTGACCAAAGGTTGCCGTACGCGTTTTTTCTGAAGATCGCCTGTTCTCAAACTGTACGGCGAATTGAAACAAATTTTCCAGCGTCTCTGGATTTCGTACCTCCATGAAGTCACGAACAGAAGGAAGCAGACGCGGTAAAATAACTTCAACTGATTCACTATCGGGCCTCTTTCCATATAATAGATTAAATATTTGAATTTTGCGTAAAATAAACTCCGTAAGCTCTTCTGCCTTGACTTGATATTTACTGAAAGGCTACACCTCCAGCTTGGTGCGGTCTTTCACAAATGGGAACGCTTTTAGCAGAGCGTTTCTGAATGTATTCCAGCTGTATGTTTTAGAACCCGGTTCGCCCAGCAGGAATTTTCCGAATTCCACGAACTAACTGAGAGCTTGCTCTTTAAGGTTTACTATAGCAACCGTTACTTTTTGAAGTTCCGGAACAGGAACAGGATGCAACGTGAAATGGAGCTCCAACTGCTCCAAAAAGGACACAACAGAACCTTTGCCATCGAAGGTAGCAGCTAGTTTCATCGCAGCTCGCATGGCCTCGATGATGAATCCGAATCCTTCCATCGGCTTTGCTGGTGCCGGCGGGATTTGTTAGAAGAGGCTAACGTGAATTTTCCATAGTCCAAAGACATCATTCGATGATACTTTGGGAGCCACTATAATGTTCCTAAATACTTGGACTATGCTAAACGTAGAGGAACCTAGTGAACTATGCAGCGACTTATCGCTGGGTTCACGTGTTAAATGACAAAGTTCAGTTAGAGCATTAAGCATTTCAAGCCGCATTATTTTGAGCTTCGTAAAGAATCAAAGTGAAATGCGGATAAAATATCACTTAGACGACAAAAGGTATATAACTGAAAGCCGCTCACAAGAGGAATCTCGTGATCCAAGTCTTAAAGTGATCAACCCCCAACATTTGCTAACTATTTTCAAAAAACACTGTTTATCTTTGATACTGGATTTTATAAGAACTTTACTTTAAGCATTTAAAACTAAGGTATGTGATTTCGATTCGGTTTTTTAAAGTAATAGAGTATAATAAACTTCACAAATTTATAATCCTTATATAGATAAATTTTTTCTCTTTAATTTGATATTAGTCTTTCCCCATAAAATTAAGTATAATTAAAGTTATAAGCAAATTTAAAATAAATGTATAGTAATATTTTAAATGTAAAATCTTTAGAACGTCAATGTTGTTATATTTATTTTGCTTATAAAGTTATAATTTTGTACCCTTATTTCTCAAATTTAATAGTTTATTTTATAAAAATATATAATATTTAATATAGAAATTAAGTGCAAAATTTTTTCCTTCTATTGATACAAATCTTAGTCCAAAATATTGATATATATTCAAAATATGTTTTAATGTATTTTCATTTATAAATTTAATATCTAATTCACAGTATTTTCATTTTTAATCAAGCACATGCATTAAAATAAAACAGTAGACGCAAAAATATATAAACATTTATAATAAATAATTTTTCAACCTAATATAATATCATAACATATTATTAATACTTAATATTTATCCTCAAATATTTTTTAAATTTATTTTAGACAAAGTAGCAGTAAACCACTTAACTGCCTAATACGTTAATAAGTTTATTTGCATTTTTTCATCCTGGTATAAATTGAATTTGCCACAATGACCCACTAAACGTTAAGTATTTAAAGGATAACACCTGTTGAAAATAATTCCATCTAGTTAAAAATTTACTAATTTTACACTACCATAACACCAATAGATATTAAATTTCTAACTTCCATCCTAATTAAGCTACCTAAATAGAATTAGCACCATTGCATTTTAAATAAAATTGTGAATCCATAGAGTAGATATCCTATATAATTATATTAACTCAATAAGAAATAACAATGAATTCCTTAAATGCAAATACCTACCGTTCAATGTATGATTCAAGAGTTTCATCGTCTGATTTTTTTTCATTTCTCCTGAAATCAAAGAATCAAATAAGAATACTTACAAAATTGAAGAAGTCTATGATAAATGTTTAAAATTACTTAAAACTAAAAAATACCGAAAGAAACGTCGTTCAACTGACTTCTTTCTCAAAATTAAAAATCTAGCTGACTTTCTCAAAGATACTAACAAACAATTTTAATCAATTTTAAACAATCTCATACAATACAATTTTAATTACAAGTCTACCAAAAATAACTAACTAAATGCAAAATTTGTGACAATACGGCTGTATACCATACCTTAAATGCGAAAAATCATAATACTTTACCAGAAAATCTTTCATTCACCCATTCATATCAAATTCCTAATGAAGACTCAAGTTCCAATGTACCTATACAACGTTTGGAATAAGTAAAAAATATGGCTACTTCCCCAATATCAAGAAAACTTATAAAGAAAGTTTTACAAAATAACTCTACATCTCAAAGTCAACAATTACTTTTAGAACAAAATGTTCAAAGTAATACAGAAAGTGATACAAGTACACCAAGTAGCAATTTTCTTGAAATATTTTCCTGGTCAGATCCAAATCAGCCTTATAACCAGGGAAAGAGTTCATCGACAATCAAAGAGATCGACAACCATACTTCAATTGAGAGGCATAACACTGTCACTATACCAACAAGAATAGGATCTGATAATCTAGGACCCGATATTACAATCAATGAACATACTCAAATTCTATGTAATGATAAACAATGCGATCTTAATGTTTCATCGCCAATCAACTACACCAATGAATTCGATTTAGTAAATAACTATGTCAACTTCAAGACTATATAGAAAAGTACATTCCCACTGCAAATCTAGGTGTAAAGATTTCCAAAATGACCAATACTAAAAACGGAAGATTAGCAATTTCATGTCCGAGCAACGAAGATGAAGATAATAAGCAAAATTAATTCCACTGAAGAAAATAAATACACATCAGAAACATTATTACCTTACGAATTCCAAGCAAAAGGACACCAAAGTGAATCATCCACAATCTACCAGTGCACACTACAGAACAAGAAATTACTGATTTAATCTTAAATAATTTCCAATTAAATAACGTAGGTTTTTAAACCACTATTTAAACTTGACGACTAAAGAAATAATGGAATCAAATGGATCATACAATGCTCCCCATATGCCTTTACAATTCTAACTAATAGAGGTATTTTTCACGATAAATAGAGAAATCATATAATAATCAAATATCTTGGAATCAAAAACGGTGCTTTATTTGCCAAGATTTTAAGTATATTAGCAGAAATTCCACCTTTTGTAACTATTGTGCATTTTATGGCGAAGAACAATATAAACGGCTGCGCAGCAAAAAATCCCAAGTGCATCAACTGTTTATTATACAACGAATCCAATTATGTAAACTTAGATACAAACCATTCAACCTATGCACCTAATGCCATATGTATCAAGGAGAACGATAAAAAGTTAAGGCAAGGACCAATTATGTAAACTTAGATACAAAAGAATAAAACTATAGAACAACAAAAGAATAAACTTAGATAAAGAACAACAAAAGAAACAAAAGAATAAACTTAGATACAAAAGAATCCAATTATGTAAACTTAGATACAAACCATTCAACCTATGCACTTAATGCCATATGTATCAAGGAGAACGATAAAAAGTTAAGGCAAGGACCAATTATGTAAACTTAGATACAAAGAATAAAACTATAGAACAACAAAGAATAAACTTAGATAAAGAACAACAAAAGAAACAAAAGAATAAACTTAGATACAAAAGAATCCAATTATGTAAACTTAGATACAAACCATTCAACCTATGCACTTAATGCCATATGTATCAAGGAGAACGATAAAAAGTTAAGGCAAGGACCAATTATGTAAACTTAGATACAAAAGAATAAAACTATAGAACAACAAAAGAATAAACTTAGATAAAGAACAACAAAAGAAACAAAAGAATAAACTTAGATACAAAAGAATCCAATTATGTAAACTTAGATACAAACCATTCAACCTATGCACCTAATGCCATATGTATCAAGGAGAACGATAAAAAGTTAAGGCAAGGACCAATTATGTAAACTTAGATACAAAAGAATAAAACTATAGAACAACAAAAGAATAAACTTAGATAAAGAACAACAAAAGAAACAAAAGAATAAACTTAGATACAAAAGAATCCAATTATGTAAACTTAGATACAAACCATTCAACCTATGCACCTAATGCATATGTATCAAGGAGAACGATAAAAAGTTAAGGCAAGGACACAATACAACGATATCGATTAACTATAGTGACAGTTTTATATTTTCTCTCAATTGCAGTTCTCCAAAAGGAAAAAATTGGATACTTTATCTTCAAAATTGAAAGACTCTAAGAATGATTTTTCAAAGGACTTTTATGGATGAAACTGGATGTTAATTATCCTTTTCTTGAAGCTAAGTTTCTGGAACTGCCTTGAATTAATACCGGGTCAACACTGGTAAAGTACCAACAAAAGTAGATTCTCTACAGATGTAAGCAGACCGATTATGACTGAACTTATTTGATCAACAATCCTTGTACTAAACTTTAACAAGTGCGGACTTTAGCAAGTGTGATTTACTAACACAGGAAACAAATAAGCAATGATAACTAGATTACATCATATTCAAAATTTAATTACTTTCTCAAGAACTTTAAAGACAGCTTTTTATTTTTAGTCCAAAGGGGCTTTGTTCCTGAAGGACTATTGTCTTCGTTTTGCGATTTTGCGTTGAAACCTTTAAAAGGCTGTATCACTTTTCAAACCGTTGCCACCAAATACTATCGCCATGTATTATATTTGAAGAAATTAAATAATGAAGAATCTGCATAAATGTATGTATGTTTCTCGCTTTGTGATAAAACAACGCTATCTAGAAGCTATCCAATTTTGAATGACGTAATCCTGCTGCGAATATGGGCATCTGAAAGCCCAAATTTGGAAGTTGAAATTTGTTTTATTATAGATTTCATATTTTGTAAAACTTTAAATAATTTTTGATTAACAAACTCAACGATTTAAAAGCGAGCAATGACAACACTCTATGGGGGGGGGAAGAGACCTTTTTATTTCAGAGCGCGGAACTGTGTATCTGGAATTCTAAAGATATGCTCATTTTAAAATTATTTTGCGACATTGCTGTTAAACTGAATTTTATGGTTTAAGTGAAGAGAACATGATATTTAATAAATAAAGGTAACACACAAAACGTTAAAAAAGCGCCCCTTTGGACGTAATTTAAAATCAGAAACCTTTCAGGTTTTTTTTAAATTTTTATTCCTTTTTCTTTCCTGTTCTCTTTTAAATTTTATTATTATTATCTACTCTTCAGATTTCCATCTTTAAAAATACTATCACATGTATTGTATTATCATATGAATATGTATTTTAAAGTAATGTCAATGCCATGAAATTCTGTAAACACCACCTGTACTAAATTTTTAATTATTATTTAACTATTACTAATTTATTATTACTAATTTATTATTATAATTTATTATTATTATTTAACTATTACTAAATTTTACTAAACGCCCGCGACTTGATGATGAGACTAGTCCCAGCAGACGAGGCTGTTCTGGCGGTGTGGAGTGTTCCTTGTTGTGCCACGCAGAACGTTTGGCTTTGTTAACCGTTATGACAAAGTCTAGAAAAGGGTTAAAGTACTCTTTATTCACTCCCGTAGGGACCTTCACAGACGGTTCCTTCCTGGACGTACAGGGAAGCCTCCACTCGGGCTTCAAATCAAGATAAGAAAAATAAGAAACTAATCTAATACTGACTTAGCCGAACCTAGACACAAATACCTAACGTAGTTGGCCCTTAATTTAACTTAGCCGGCGATTATCAACAAGCACGTAGAATACGGCCAGTGTAGTAGGTTTACTAACGAAGTAGCCTGACGGCAAACAGGCGCAACTAGACTCCTAAGACCTCCTACTGAAGTAAGCTGAAGCTTCCTTAAATACTCCTGATACCAAATTTACATTCAACGCGATTCTAAAATACTTGCTTTCGTAGGGAGTTGTAAGTAGAAAAGAAGAATTGAAAGGAAATCGTTTCGGAATTAAAAATAACTGTTATAAAATTAAAATACACCTTACAAATTATTTTTTTATTTGAATAATTTTAATTAGTTCACTTAATTTGTCTTATGAAATCATGAAAAGTAACGTTCTCTTTCCGAGACATTCATCTTTTAATTTAAATTATACGCCAAGGACTATTTGTACCTTATCTTTTTTTTGGGGGGGGGGATTATTTTGCGTTATCTTTAAGTATTTATGCATTCAATACAAGAAAAATGTTTAATACATTTGAATAAAATATTTATGTTCATAGTTATTTCAATACAAATTTTAATACTCTTTCAAGATAACTTTAAAAACATTCAGTTAAAATTGTCAGAATATCAGTTTCTCATTTGTATTACTAAGTGTGTATGCAAATGATCGAATTTTCTTTTTCTTACTTCAGACTGTTGCAGTATTCAAAATATGCTCTTTCAGTCTCTTACATTTAAAAAAATATACTGCTTCAGACTTATAACTATATAATTACATTCATTCAATAAGAAATAACAATGAATTCCATAAATGCAAATACATACTCCGCCATCTCTGGTAATAGAAATCCAATCCTACACTTTATATATTTCTGATCTTGCTCCTGAAATGAAAGATTCAAATAAGAATAGTTACAAAATTGAAAAAGTCTATGATAAACGTTTAAAATTACTTAAACTAAAAAATATCGAAAGAAATGTCTTTCAACTGACTTCTTTCTCAAAATTAAAAATCTAGCTGACTTTCTCCAAGATACTAATGCGTGCGTACGGGTTCGTAATAAATTGAATGCACAAGTCTGATGAAAAGTTAATAAAATTTATTCTTATCAGAAGAAATAAATAAAACAAAATGCTGAAATTTTTCTTCACAGATATTCGTTCAATATCACACAGTAGTTATATATTAAACTACTAAAACGTTAAAAGTTCTGTTAAACAGAACGCAATTCAAGCGCAAATAAAGCTAATCCGATGTCACCGCGAATTCGCTACGATCAACAGCTTAGTAAACAACTGAACGGAGATGTTTTTCTCCGGCTTTTATAAGCTTTTTTTAATCAGTCACGAGAAGCTTCTAGTAAGTTCTCGAGGTTTCTGGAAAGCAATAGAGCAGAATCGCAGTTACAGCTAACACACAAGTGCATTATTTCAATGCAAATATAAATTACGAGATATCTATATTTATTAAACACGCGTACTTCTGTATTTCTACCTTTTTCGGCGTAGCTTTCTCTTAAAGGCTCGTCACGCGCTACATTACACGGAGAAACAAAACAAGTTTCATTACAAGTCTACCAAAAATATCTAACTAAATACAAAATCCGTAACACGTCCCGGGCAGTACAATCCCTGGACAGGAAGCCAAATTTACAAATAAAGCATCAATGCGATAACAAACATTATATTACAATAATTGCAATAAGTAACATAAAACAAATTAAATACTAAACAGAAATCAAATGCTTTCAAATACTAAATACAAATCAAATACTATCAAATACTAAATGCAAATCAAGTACTATCAAATTTAGAAACAAGAAGGACCATGGGTTTATACTATTTAACATTATATACACTACGTACTACGGCCATAGTAAGGAAATAACCTGTCGTAATGAACGACTTTAGGCTTAGAGTTCGATGACGTAGGGATCCGTAGGGTTTAGGACTGTGTACTGACCATCCCAAGACGACTTTAACGCCACTGTGAGAGCTCCCGACCTAAGCATTAACCTAACGGGATTCTAGCTCCAACAGCGGAAAATGATGTACAACTCTAGCTGCAGCCACAGCCCAACAGACCAACGGCATTTTTTAAAATCATAATCAAAGAAAAACAGTTTACAGATACATTGCAAAATTGAGTTTAGACGCACTTTGCAGTATGTGCAGTGTATGCATTCATATTGAAATGGGTAGATGCAATTATAAGATCAATGGAAGATCCCAAGGTGACTGTAGTTTAGGACTGAGTCCTTTCCGTCGAGTCGGATTCTACAACCACACCTTGTCTCCTTCGTTGAATGGATGTCCAGTAGCTCTGGTGTCCTATCAGGTCTTCATCTTCTCCGTCGCCAAGTTGACTCGCTCTCGAGCAAAATTGTGCATCATTTCAAACCGGGTTTGGACATCTTGGATGTGTTCCTCAGGCGATGAAGGCACATCCGGAGGGCAACCAAACAAGAGATCTCATGAAAGACGAGGGCCACGACCAACGAGCCTCTGGGATGGAGAATAGCCAGTAGTCTCGTGTTTCTCTTCAACCCTAGTATGATTTCGGCAGCTTTTTGAGCAGAGTCTTTCAGACAGGGCGTCGGCGTTTCCAGGTGAGTGTCCCTTCTGATGATGGGGAGTTATGTCCTCTGATGATGAAAGTAGTTTCTTGTTTTTAGAAGTCCAAGGAAAAATTGCATTTCCTTTAAAAGTCTAAGCCTAGAATGCAAGGATCCGTAATATCTGCCACATACGCCATGTGATAGTAGGCGGCACTTCCACGCGTGATGTTCACATTGAACTTCCCATCTATGTTGATTTTTTCACAAGACGCAGTCTGGAGGGTAACACAGGATGGCGTCCAAAAAAATTTTTTTTTAAATTGTTGTGCTAAATCTTTCCGAATGATGGTAAAATTAGCTCCTGTGTCAATGATCATATTGCAAGGAACTCCATCGATATGCCCATTGATGGATAGTCCATTACTGTTGCCACTCACTGCAGAAATCTTGAGCGCTTTAAAAGGGGGTTTTTCACTATCGTTCAAACTCCGCTCCGCGATATGGTCATTAATTTGTTTCCTGTATTAATTTGTTTGCTGTAAATGGTTTTATCTTCCGTGCCCTGGGGTGTTCTGCAGTTCCCTCGTACGCGGCCTTCAGCTCCGCAGTTCCAATATTTTGGTTTCTTGTCACTCCTTTTCCATCTCAAGGCATTTAATTGTCTGTTTATATCGTCTGCCTTATTTTTCCGTGTTCTGGAGTATTCTGCAGTTCCTTCGTATGTGGCCTTCAGCACCGCAGCTCCAGCACTTTAGGGTCGGTTTCTTGTCACTAATATTCCGTCTCAAGGCATTGAGTTGTCTGATTAAATACTCTGTCTTATTTTTCGTGCCCAGAGGTATTCTGCAGTTCTTTCGTACGTGGCCTTCAACACCACATTTTCTACATTTTAGAGTGAGTTTCTTCTCACTTCTACACCGTAGCACGCGTCAACTTGTCTGGATAAATCATCTAAACGAGCCATCAATTGCTCCACTGGCTCGTGGACTTGCACAGCTCTGACTGGGTAGTGATCTCAACGAGTTGTTTGCTGGGTTGCCTCGAATTTCATGGCGTACACTAGAGCCCTTTTTACGTCCTTGACACCCGCCATTGGCACAGCATTCTGGATTTCGGGATGCCGGATGCCCTGGATAAAGTACTGCAGGGAGAGGATTTCCCTTGTTCCTGTCGGGCAGTTCGAAAAAGCGAAGTGAGATAGCCTTTCAACATACGTGGCGAGCTCCTGGAGTGTTTCCGTGGGCTTCTGTTGACGGGATTTTGAGTCTACTGTAGACTTTCAAACATTTCGTCCCAAAGCGCAGCTCCAACACGCCGGGCAGAGCTTCGAAATCCAGCCTTTGGATATTCGGGAAGAGTCTGAGGCATATCCGCTGCGTTTGCTCTGAAAGAAGAGGCGAGATTACAGGCATTAGCTTGGGAATCCTATCCATTCGTATCCGCCACTATAGAAAATTGTGTCTTATACACTTGCCAGGAGATCTTCCCATCATAAGTGGATAGCTTCAGAGAGGGACAAGCGGGCAAGGGTAGGAATTTTAAACCTTCAGAATTTTTTCCTGCTGTCGCTATGCACATCATTTAAGTTGTCAACTTCTTTGGCGACGGCAGCAGAAACCCTGTCATGAATTTGTTGTTCTACGGCAGAAATTCTCTCTTCTATTTGTTCTTTCACAAAAGAAATACTGTAATCGATTTGTTGTTCTACGGCAGAAACTCTATTCTTCTATTTATTCCTTGACAGAAGAAACTTTCTCTTCAATTTGTCTAAATTTACTTTCAACCATATCCATTCTATTCTCCATAGCCTCAAGTTTGTTTTCTATTATGCAGGTAATTTCTCTTTTCATTCTTGACCTGCTTCAATCTTTTCTTGACCAACGTCCATCTTTACTTGATCCGCTTTCATCTCTTCTTTAACGGATTGTTACCAGCTACATTTCTTCTTTAACAGCTTTCATCTCTACTTTGACTGATTCTTGAACAACATTCATCTCTAATTTAACAGAATTTTTCATCTCTTCTTTAAATGCAGCAAAGGCTGCCATGAATTGCCGTAAGTGTTCTTCCATCCCTCTTGTGATTGGCATTCAAATCTTACTTCTGACATCAAAAAGGTTTGCGTGCGTACGGGTTCGTAATAGACTGAATGCACAAGTCTGATGAAAAGTTAATAAAATTTATTCTTATCACAAGAAATAAAACAAAATGTTGAAGTGCTTCCTCACAGATATTCGTGCAAAATCACAATATCAGACGGTAGTTATATTTTAAACTATTAAAACGTCAAGAGCAGAAAAAGCTAATCCGATCTCACTGCGAATTCGCTAAAATCAATAACTTAAGTAAAGAACTGAACTGAGATGTTTTTCTTCGGCTTTTATAAGCTTTTTAATTTCTAGAGGTTTCTGGAAAGCAAAACACAGTCACACACACACAGTCGCATTATTTGAATCCAAATACAAATTACGAGACATTTATTTAATACAGGGTTCGTACACATTTCTGCATACGGAAATTAAGTGCTTTTAAGGACTTTAAGGACCATTAATGAAAAAAATTAAGGACCTATGAGCAAATGGGAACTGATTAAATTCAATTAAAAATATTATATCTATGCCTGAACGTGAGTCGGATGCATTATTATTAAACATAACTTAATTAACATAATTATTAATACGTTTGAGAATAAAATTAATTTTATGAAATTTATCAAGTAGCATTAAATATTTTACACTTATAATAACTGGACATATTTGAAAGAAGATAAGTGACGTTTTAGTTACATTTTATTAACAGTTAGCCTTTTTTTTTTTTTTTTTTTTTTTTTTAATGTCTCGTTTTGTCACATACTTGCTCAGTCTAGAGGTTTAGTAGATAGCAAGTAGATTTTATGTCAAGCAGTATAGGTTAAAATGAGCATTAAAATCATAATCAGCATGATTCATAACAAAAGACTGGCTGTTGTCACCGCTCCTGCTTGCCTAATAGAGAAACCTGCTGATTAGAACAAGCCTGATGTAGGCACAGTTAGCAAGTTTTGAAAGTTAGCTGACTTCTGTCTGACGTTGTTAGTGTCGTAGCTTCGTGTAGAGTTCCAGAGGTTGTAACTCAGTTAATATACTTTAAAGTTAAGCCACTAAAGCATTAGCGGTGATAAGTTGTTTTGCATTAAGTCTCACTAGATGCAAAGAATAAGTTTCACATGAATTTTTATATTTTTGTGTTTTACCTTGTGACCACGGTAAAGGTTAACACGTTGAGCCCGGCGCCGAATTTGCTGTCCATTCCGTTCGGCCAGCAGCGAGCGATCAAGCGGTGCAATA